ACTACTGTTACGTAGTTTCCTACTCACGACCCGAAGAAGCTTCCTGACTAAGAGCTCTGTGCAAGTGTCCCTTTTGATAAAAAATAAAGATTACAAGATTTCCACATTTTTCTGTATCAAGATGAAGTAGTAGTGAGCCAAAATCTTTCTTTCCCAGAAATGAATTGAATTCTTTCTCTGAGTATTGTTTGAAATATGTTTTAAGTTTGTTTTTCAAATACATGTTCTTATTCTTAAAATAGTAATCGAGTAATGCCTACACTTCTGATTTGATTAAAAATGTAATAACTGAAAAAATCACTTTATTGATTGTTTATTTCAATTATGGAAAAACAAATTCCAATATGATTTTCTCAAGTTGAAATGCAACATTACTCGATTATGAAAAATGTAATTTTGAAGAAAAAAATATTATGAAATAAGGAAGGAGAAGCTGAGAATTATGTTTTTCATTTGATAAAATTGATATTTCGATACTTGACTAATTGATAATTGATATTCTTCAATTGAATACTTGTATCAGATGAACAAAATAGAAATGAAACTTTCTATGTTTTCAACCACTTTTATTTCTAACTAACGTTACTGCAGTTTCGTCCGATACGGACATTTTCAAACTACAATAAACTAATAATGATTCATTACATTCGGCATTATATATACCCCTGTAGGTACTAATAGAAACAGAGGTACTGAACTTCATTGAGTACCTGAATTTACAGTTCACAATGCGGATGTGCCTANTCATTAAGTTATGCCCTGTAATGATTTGGAATAACATACATTGGGATGAGATTACGAAAAATCATAAAGAAATAATGTCTACGAATTCTTTTAGGACAAAAATCACTTCAATCCCTGGGATATCTGAAATTAGCACACAATTGAAACTACATGATACTAAAAGGTTTGCCCTTGAAGAAATTGAAGAAGAAATAAAATAACTTAAAGTTTCATTATGAAGCGAAATAAAAATTTATTTATTTGTTTGTAATGATTAAAATCAAATAATACTTGACCGTATCGAAATTTTTTCCACCAACTGAAAGCTACATTATCAGCGAGTTCTGTATCTATAGAGTAGGAAGGGTGAGTGTAAGCCCACAATACTTAGGCCACATGTGACCTATTGTATATCCTCCCGAGGAGTTGTCCTTCTAGATCATCGTCCATCCTGTCCTTTTCTGGAAGGAGGACAAGTCACTGGGAGAAATCTCCTTCATATTAGCAGGTGTAGGCCAAGACTCACCGAAAACAGACTCTCTTATTGACGATGCCTCCGGGCACTCGCACAGGACATGTCTTATAGTCTCATCTTCCTGTTCACACATCCTGCATAGAGGTGTGTTCACTAGCCCCATATTATGGAGGTGTTTTCTGAGTTGACAGTGGCCAGTCAGAAATCCTACTATCAGCGAGTTATATGAGAGTTCTTTTTCCACAAAATTGAAGATCGCTAAGGAAATTGCAACTATGCGAACGAAGGTAAAGAAATTCGCCTATAAAAATCATAATTCGACAAACGCTGCAAAAACTACTGATGATTCATCAAATGATTTGTGACATTCAACTTCTCCAGCCAAGTGGGCAATACCTGGTTACCAGAAATGAAAAACATCATATTTGCACGGAGTCACCAACAAGAGCCAAACGCACATTTGTGGTTTAAATTGGATGAATTAGCATTCCTAGGCAACATCTAACATGACTACGTAGGCAGCTATAGCTAACTTCGTAAATTCCATGTCCAGGATCCAGTGTTCATGATATGAATCAAAAAGGAAACAATTCGTAGACACAACACTCCAGAAAGGTAGTCATACCGCGGACACGTATTTCTGGCTGTTGGCCTCATCTGCGCAGTGCATAGGTGTTTAACATTTTCGGTAACCAGGTGTGGCTGATCTTTGTACTTGGCTACACTGCTCTGAGGCTTATAGTCAGAAACACGTATCCGCGGTTTACGGTTTCAAAGACTAGAAATCCGATTGGGTACGCAGTGGGGCTAACATTGAGTATGCACTCTGCTGTTTCATCATCTTTCATACAGAGACGGCATGTCTCGACAGTTCAGGACTGTTTTTGTGACGATTCAGACAGCAGTTAACTGTGAACATGCTGAAAAACTTTGGTCGTCCCTGCTGTTATCAACAATTGTTTGGTACCATACTTTGAAGGACGTATAATAACATTGAAAAGGGCCAACACTGGTAGATTCTGCTAAAAATATGTTTTTATATTCGTAGTCAGGATTACAGATCAGATGAAATTTGTTAAGTATTCCAGTTCACTACAAACAACTTGGTTATTTCTCGCTAAAAGCAAAATGCTTTCAAAGTCGGTTGTATATCCGAAAATATCTGTATATCTCTCTTCAGGAAGATGGTGGAGAGAAGGTAGGTCACGAAGGGTTTTCATGGGCGCTAATGGTCACTCTCGCTGCGAATGAAATAATCTCGGCATGGAGAGAAAGTGGAGGTGAATCATTCAGTATCCTCTTTCTGGAGTTTACGGAAATATGTTTTCTCTGGCACTGATTGTGAATATCGTTCAACGTTCTTTGAAAAATGTTACAGGCTACCCTCTTCAGTGTGGTCTTGGCCATGATCACATGTTCATCATGAGCTTGCAGATCTACCTCTCTTTTATCAAGGATAGTACTGATAAGATACGAGTATAGGTTAATTTCGACAAATGTTATTTAACATATTCAGAATGAGTTTTAGTACCATTGAGCGTAGCTTCCACTATATCAATTAACGAGACAGATGTCGGATCAGCAGAAAGAATGTCATTGGCCTGATATCCAATTGAACCAAAATCTGTTCACACACGTTCTGATTAATGCAAAATCAATCATGCTATTGAAAAATTGAAATAGAATCTTCTGTGTAGAATAAATCCGAAAGAAGACGCCAACTTGGTTGGTGAAATGCGTGTCGGAAAGAGTGCTTGGAAAAAATATTTTCTTCTGTCGACCACCGTTGCTAACTGTTGCGACAGCTATGATTCAAAGTGTCGGGGGTATCACTGGGAATAGTTGACTATAGTGACTCTACTCCTGGAGACAACTGAATTTCGTGACAATTGTCGAGTAGTATTCACACGCAGGCAATTGATTTATGTCAGTGTGCTGTCCCACAACAATTGTCTCATTAAATGGCATCATGTAAGCCGCGCTTTGAGGATATTGTCAATTAGAGTCAACGAAAGTTACAAAAGACACAAAATCTACGATTGAGTAATTTTCGCCAAAATATAAAACAACTTAAAAAATGAAATTGAAAGTGAGTCTATCATATTTCTAACCGACCTGACAGACCATTTCACATACTTTCTCCTGCCTAGATATGAAACCACCAAAGAGAAAAGCAAAAACAAGTTACATAAACTATGAGGAATAGGAAAATCTTTTACAGGGAGAAAAATGGGCGATTATCAATCATATAACAGACAAAAATAAAAAATCAAATAAACAAATAGATAACACTCCAATAACCAGTAAGTCGGTAAAATATTAACAAATAATGAAGATGAAGCAAATATATTTAATGAATTCTTTACAATCTTGGGTATAGATATGTCTGAAAAAATACATAGTATTAAAATTAAACAAAACTTTCCTGAACGTGAAAAAATTGACTCAACCATTGAACCGGTAACGGAAAACGAAATTATTATTCATCTATCAAACCTAAAAAATTAATGTTCTTCGGACCCAGATAAACTCTACAACTACCTAGCCGAATCAATTCTGTCTTACTGTATCACAATATGAAGTGGAGCTTTCAGCAACACCCTGAACATTATACAAACAATACAAAACACACTATTGAAAATCATCCTGAAAAATCGATACGTAGTTTCTTCGTGTTGATAATATCACTATTTCAAAAACCATCAGACATATTAGAAACGTAAAAAAATAAATGAAAAGCATGTTGGTGTTGTCTCGGAAGCTTGTCTGCTGCAATTTTTTAAATTTTTTCCTATATGTTTCTAATATGTCTGATGGTTTTTAATATAGTAATATTATCAACACGAAAAACTACATTTCGAGCCCTGAAGGAGAATTTAATCAAATTCGAAACGTCGGAAAGAAAACAATTGTTTTTTCAATAAAAAATTGCTCTTGTTACCTAACTAACCTTTCTTCAGAGAAATTATTGGATCACTAAAATAGTTAACTGATATTATCAATTTTCAATTATTCACCATAAATTATACTTCTTTTAGATATAACGCATTGGAAATTGTTAAACTACGGCATCCATCATTCCGAACCATCCCGTCATGGCCGACAATTGAAGAATTTGATGAAAAACTGGGTACCTCAAAACTCAAGGAATATATAGATTGTACATCGGAAGTAACAGAAGACTGGCTTTATTCTGTTGAACTCATTGCAAAACAGAGCAATAATCACAGTGACTTTTATACATACGAAGCAAAATTCGGCATTCCAACAAAGTGTTATCCTGTTGCACAAGCCACTGCGAGTGTCTTTTTCAAGTACGAAGTGTCCAGGATCAAACCCAGATTTTGTCCTGTCGATGTCACATTTCAATTTGAGGCCTCAAATTGTGTTTTGGTGCCGGGGACAAATTACATCACAGAGAAATTACTCTTCCGAATTATAGATGCGAAAATAGCTTACTACAAGACAGTCAGATTCTGATGTTACCACAAGTAGATACTTTTTTAGGGATCAAATCGATAAATTCAGAGAAATAAATTATGGAAAAATGATCTGTAATTTTCTTATTCTGTGTTCTTCTGAAATTATACCCCTTTCAATTTGAACAAGATTCTTATGTCTGGAATTTGATCAAATAAGCGAATGAATGTCAATATGTTCTGTCATCGATGATATGAGTGGATTTTACTCATTCGTGACAAGTCGTAATTTCATGAATGAATTGAGTATTTCTTCTCATGATGTTATCTGGATGGTATGAAGAGCCGATAAAGCAAGTGTCTTACGACAAAACATGTCTATATGTCATATTTCACTCAGTTTTATAACGAATATTTGGAATAAAAAATGCATAGTGAAAAATGTTTTTTGTATAATTTAGTGTTCATATATAAGTTTCGAGAGGGCTTTTCTTCCAGTTTGTGTCTGAAAGTTACTTGAAGGTATGATCTATTCATCTTTGTGTAGAACAATTTTTTTTTAATTCATTGTGACATTATTTATGTACCAACTTGGATTATAGATGAAAAGCTACGTCTGAAATTTCATGCCGACTTGATATATAATATTATCAATCCACATTCCATTGTAACGGAAAGAACATTGCCCCAAATTTGGAATATGGGCCGATTCTTTGGAAAATTCTCCTGTGAAATTCTTTACTGCTTTTGAAAATTCAACAGGTAATAAATTTTTGGTTCTCCTCAACATTGCCCATAGAATTTTCACAGTTACTTGAAGTGTATATATACAATACATTCCATTTAAAAAGAGCCACCCTGAATAACTTGTGGTACAATGATTTTCAGGAAAAATAAAGAAAACACGTCAACAAAAGTATACAGTGGGACACATTTCGACATATTCACATTTGATGTTACTTCCCCTATCGCACCCCTAGAGCATGTCACCAATTTTTTCAATGGATCACCCTATATTGATTCGCATTATCAGATGTTCCATAATAAACACTATCCTAAGAAATTTTATGATACACTGAATACAAAATCAACCTAAAAAAATACCAAGAGACTGTCATCTCCCCTGTGTTAATCACATCTGGAAGTAAAATATTCAATAGCAGAAAAATAGTTTATTTTACTTATTCACCATGTCAAATAATGTACATTCAACTCTAAATTTCTCTGATCGAGCACATGGCAGACAGGCAATTTTACCTAGGCTAATGCGTCGATCTTGAAATTTATTCTAAAGAGCAATACGTAGAGATTCGATACTTTACTCTGATATATTTATTATGCCCATTTTTATATTACAGTCCTCGATAAAGCCAATAAACATTAGCGAAAGCTCGGGCAGCTTAAAAGAGTACATTTACTTTCTAAACACCTACTAAGAATACTGATTAAAATGTTAATGATAATGATTAATGATTAGTCCATGAACAGCTCATCGAACTTCAATGTGAACAAAGTAAGATTTATATTTTGGGTGAAATTTGGTTTTCGAAAATAGCAAGAAGAATTTAAATAAGCATTTTTTCAAAACTATTTTCTTGATAGGAAAGAGCGAAATTTAAAATCATTATTGTGTTCTATGATTTTTTCACTTGTTAATATGCTTGTTTCATACGAACGAGTAAATGAACGATTAAAAAAAATCTTGATTAATTTTCATTCTCAGTCAAAGATCTGTCAATCTATACAACTCATCTAAATTAAATCACCAAAATCAANCACGTAGGCTGATATAGCTACCTGCGTGACATCCGGATCCAGGATATAAAGACAGAGAGACATTTTATCGAGTGTGTATGATACAAATCAAAAATGAAACAATTAGTGGACACAACACTCCAAAAAAGGGGGCAAACCGCGGAAACGTTGTTTCTGGTTATTGACCTCATCAGCGCGATGCAGCCAAGTGTAAAAATGGGCAACATTTGTTTTCCGAGAGCAGGAAACAACACATATGCACGGAGTCAACAACAGGAGCCAACCGCACATTTGTGTTTCCAGTTAGAAGACCTAGAATTCCGAGGCTACATCTAACATGACCACGTAGGCGGCTATAGCTACCTACGAATTCTAGGTCTTCTAACTGGAACCACAAATGTGCGGAGATGAAAGGTTAGGCTTTGAAGCTTTCATACGGCGAATAACACAATAACTTTGACACAATTACCTCTATTGTAACTGTTCATTTTCTAGAAGCTACCCGAGCGACTGATGAAGTCATCAAGAGGATTCCGATTCGCGAATACAAAAGACTTTGACAAGTCTGCTGGATCAATAAATATAAAGTGACCGATTCAGCTTCTAGTCAAATGATAGCAAGTACCATTATTCTTGCATGGTTGAATAAGTTGCCAAACTCCGATGAACGAGTACTAGCCGTTTATACAAAATTAAGGAATGGTGAATCAGTATGCATGGCCGACGGGATTATGAAAATTACAAGAAATACGAAAACTTGTGCTGTTCAAACTTCTGCTTCAACAAGATCTTTAGAGGATGAAATCGATAGGGAACATTCCAGTAACGACAAATTTGTCTCCCAGTCTGAATGAGACTTTTCAACGAAATAAACCAAAAGAAAACAAAGATATTCTATGATCCAGACAATCAAATTGACAGAGCGAAAATAATTATTCATACCCGTTTCTGGAAAAACGAGCCATAACTATGGTTCCATGTTATCGTAACTTCCCCCAATATCAATGATATTTCATTGGAACAAGAAATTGGGAAATGAATGTATAAATTACATGAACGATATGTGAACTGGATCTTGTTCGAGCCCTTGAAAATCATTTTGTTTCCACCATCTAAAATTCATTGAAAAAGCTACAAAATATGTTTCGCCTTGTCGTTATAAAAACAAAAGTGATTCGGAAAACGAGCAGGGCAATTGTTGATGATTACCAAGGTGTTTGGCAAACGTATTTCTATTCAAGTTCGGATTCAAGATGTAACGGAACAATGATTGACACTTTTGAAGAACAAATGCTAAAGATTTCTCTGGGACTGAAAAGAAATTTCAGCTGGTCTCTCATGCTAGCCAAAGTCAACAAAGCTATAATTGAAACAGATTTTCCTAAGAAATTTGGTTAATTGATTGATGTGATGAATTGAAGAATTGTAAAAACCCATACGAATTCGTCAAGATGCTGTTCATCATATGAATTAGATTCTTTTTTATTTACGAAACATTGAACCGAAGTTACACCATATCACCACGTTTTAGCGGTCTTTCATGAACTCACCAGAACCACCCTAAGAAGAGCAACTCATGAAGCAGATATCCGACATCAAATAGTAACCAATACTTACACTATTCACTGCAGGGCTCATCGATTGAATCGAGAAAAACAAGCGGCTGCAAGAAAGAGGTTCAAATATTTAATGGAACAGGGCATAATTCGACCCTCAAAATGCCTGTGAGCAAGCCCTTTGCACAAGGTTCGTAAATCAACTGGGGACTGGAGAGCCTGTGGCGATTATCGATTATTGAAGTCGATATCAGTTTCGTTTATATCCATTACCTAAAATTAAAAATTTTACGTTTCAATTAGAAGATTCGAAAATTGATCTGGTGAGGGCATTTCACCAAATCTCCATGGCAGAAAGAAACATCAGCAATCATAATCAAACAGCAATCATAACGACATTCGGACCCCAACTATCAATTTCACATTTCATAATGGTTTTGAAAACTTTTCGGGGAAACAAATTATAAAACTGTATTGTGTTTACTGTGTTTACAAAACAGCTATGAATAGGGAATTGGCACCGTTTTATAAAACATTATAGTCTTTATTGATATTTTGTAAGGCTTTTTACAATCACTACAAAAGAGTTTTATAAACATTTTGGCAGTTACTATAAAATTTTTCTAACACTCTTAAAACGTAGTTCCGTAAAGAATCTTGTAAAATAAGAAATACAATTTTATAAAAGTTTTTTTAGTAATTCCAAGTGAGCGTTATAAAATATAATGCAGCCTAACGATAACGATAAAATGAAAAAGTTCTCGAAATGTTTTCTTAAAGACGCAAGAAGTAGGTTTGTATTGGACACTATGAAAATATAATAGATATGTCACCAACTGAAAACTAAGAGATAGAATGGTTGGGGCCATTTCAATAATATCACTTTCGTACTTATAAAACCGGGGAAGACATTGTTTATGCTTAAAAGATTGATATTTTAACTGCGAATGAAATTTTATTGATGAATATATAGCCTATTATTAGTAAAATATAAGCGTGCCATTCTATTATTGAAATTTTTGGATAAAATTATTATTAGTTATACAAAAATTCACTCTGTCGAAGTAATAATTTTCTAGCCGCAAATTAAGTCAGTTTGTTCCAAATAATATAATCTTATGACTATTTGAATATACCATTCGGTTTATGAAACGCAGTACAAGTAAGTTACCGCAGACCTTTGATAGCTTCTCAAACATTCAGGTAGAACGCTTGAAACAACTATATGACGAATTGAAAGGATTTGGCATTTCCATCTATCCTGAGAAGAAGTAATTTGGGAAAGAATCATTTGGGTTTTAGGATATAATATAACCAAAAATGGAATCAGACATATGGATAAAAAATACAAACAATTTCAGATTATAAAAAACCAGGAGATTTTAAATCTCTTAGAAGGTTTTTGCGAATGGTAAACTTTTATAGAACATTCATTCCAAAAACTGCCGATATTCTAGCCCCACTTGGTGATTCCGAAGGCAATACGAGTAAAATACTATTGTGAATGTTACCCAGGAACTTTTTTTGTACAACTAAAAGGAGCCATAGCTAACTCTGCCCTGCTAGCTCATCCTGAAACATTTCCTTCGGCATTTATGGTGGATGCTTCGAGTAGTAATATCGGTGCGACAGTACAACAACAATAAAATACTTTCGTTTCATGCTTGAAGGACGTGAATTTGTAATATATCCTGATTGATGTTAGAATTTAATAAAAACCAGGAACTACTTCTCTCAGACAAACCCGATACCTGGATTTCTTTTAGTCAGTCCTCAATTGACATATTTCTGGATCCAAAATATTGTGCTGACGTCTTATCG